CTCAAATACAGACAGAAATGTCAGTCATGAAGGGTAAATCTCATGAAGCCCCCTAGAACTGACTTCGTTTTTTCTCCTTCCTGCTTTATTTTAATTGTATTGCCCTAGTGCTTAATTAACACACTGCTTTTTGCCCGAAAGACACTGAAAAGCGACATTTTCTAATGTTTTATTTACTGTTTTTACATGTAAGAGCGCATTCCACCACTAGACGGCGATAAAGGCAAATATTTTGCAAGGAACTTTAGTGTTTGGCGTTTACACATTCATTTGACAGATTGATGTAATTCTCAGCCACATTACAGGATTTACTAACTGTATTTTACTGGAATAAATTACCAAATAATTTTACATTAAACATATCCACATCCATAAAAATAAAACGTAGGGCTTCATGGCACTGACCTAAGACTGTAGGGTTGGTTTAAAAGTATGGTGACAAACATAATAATACTTGAGTCATGAAAAACATTTCAAATATTATAAATAAAGCATGATTTCACAATCTAAAACTTTATTAAATAATGTTGTTCAACCCTATATTGTTATGCTAAAATATTATTATTAATAATATTTATTTGTTCAGAAAGTGCATGAAAATGGACACTTATGGTAATTACAAATATATTATTATATTTGATTTTATGTTGTATTTAATTTTTCCAACATCAAGTGAGCATTATGAGCATTAAATATTAGTGCAGATCTTACAATAATGCAAAGAAGTCAAGCAAAATCAATTAATAAAAAAAAAACATACACTAATATAACATAAAAATAAATACTAATATTTTTAAAATACAAAAAGTTGTGGAAAATGTATTCCTAGGCCAAAGATCACAGGAGAGAAAACAAACAACTAAGGTAGGCCATTCAAATATTCCCCACTTCATAAAAAGATATTTCAATTAATTTGTTTCACTCTTTCTGCTTAGCATCAGTGTTGCATTGTTTAATGATGTCAGATGAAACATATTAAAACATTAATGAATACTTTCCATTAGCTGGGAGAAATCTTAAGCATTTTGCAAGCCAGAAAATCATTTTTCTGAGAAGGACCCAAGGTCACACCTTCCCAAACATGTAACACCTCAAACCCCATGACACCTCCACCGGGGTCCCTGTACCAAACCTGCTTCTGTTTTGCTGAATGAAGCAGCCCGATTCACTGGTGCAGGAAAACCGAGGAGCTCAAGAGGAAAATCTGCAGTGCAACAGCAAGGTTTCACAGTTCACTATTCAGTTTTTTTTATTATTATTATGCAGCTTTCTGAAAAAAATCATTCCGTGATCAAATATGTTTTGTAATGTGGCATGTGATGGTATCAAATACTTATACAATGTTACAATTTTTCCACCATATTCAAATATCATAGAATTTAAATGCTGCTTCAATAGCCAAAAAACAGGTACAACCAATAGAAAAACATGATATTACTCTTGTACCAATACCAAGGGATATGTAATACTTGGTATTACCATCCCTTATGAAAAACAAGTACACTTAACTGTATTGAATGTGCACGTATAGTGTACTTTAGGTTTTAAAAGTAAATTTTTAAACAACATACTTGCAGATAACATAATACTATATAATACTAAATAATCTAATAAAAGGCCACTTAAGTGTACATAAAGAGAGTAAACTTTCATGACTATGTTTAACACGCATTGTAATAATGTCAAATTAAAAGTTTTACTTTAGAATACATTTTAAATCATGTTTTAATATTTTGTCACACCAAAGAAGTATCCTTATTTTGATGTGTTGACTAAATGTACTAAAGCACATGTAGTTGATTATAATTTCAACTGTGTTATTTTATATTACATTTAACGTTAACATTTTAAATGTACTAAATTGCAACTTAATCATTACAAATGTGTAAACAACTATATTTAAATAGATGGCCAATTTAAATAAAAATGACTTTAATGTATATTTTAGTTTACCTCAAGTTGTCAGTACAGTCGGCATTACACTTTAATCATATTTCAAAGACAATGGAAGCAATTGCGAAATTACATATAGCTACTTCAGTTCTACTTTGGCCAACAGCTCTTATGGTTCAATTAACTGCATTAAATATATATTTTTTTTACCTAATTTAATTGCAAACATGCAATTAAGTGTCCAAAACGTTACATTCAGCTTGCATTCAAGTATATTCTTTCAAAGTATAAGGAAAAACTAAAGGGAACTAATGGGAAATGGTTAAAAATGATAATTCCATGTGACCCATTATAATAGGTCCCCTGTCCACCAGTAGTGCACCTGCATGTAGCCTTTGTCTTTGACCTTGTGCGGTTTCTCTCCCTCCCATTGACTCTAATCAAATGTGTGACCTGCCATCTAGCTCTCCACAGGTGCAGCTCACACTCAATACTAATAAAGAGAGAGCCTCGCTCCTGCCCCCTGCTGGCTGACGTGCACCTGCCCCCTCCGCTCCACATTAACTCACTCCCGCCCCCTGCATGTTATCTCAGACCCTTGGTGCATTCCAAACGGGATATATCGCCCTCCAAAGGGCACTTCGGAGTGAAAACAATCATGGCCGCCATATTGAAGGGTTGTTCCAAAAGTGCTCAAATCTGGCCACTTCAAAGGGCCCTTCGGAATGAAAGATTTCCAACTGATGGACACTCATGGCTCCCATGATCCTTTGCGCAGATTCTTTGCATGATGACGGCGCCTCCATGTGGGCACGTGATGATGACGCAGAAGGGCACTTCAAGAAACAGTTGTTTGGTCCCCTACACCCTTCAACCCTTCGAAGCTCTCACTCCGGAGGGTAAACCCTTTGAAGGGATTAGGGCATAGGGATGAGCCCTTCCGAATGGAACGCAGGGCCTGCATCTCCGGTGAACCACATAACAGTAGATCTTCTCCCGACATAATCACAAAACTGCTCCACTGATACATCACGTCTTATTTAATGTGTTGAATCCACCAGTTTGGGAAGATTTTTAGTGAATAATGGTTTAAATATCGGTCTGTTCTTCTCACAAAGAAGTGTGGCTTCAAAAGATGCAGAATATAGAACATGATAGACTTATTTTATGATATATAAAGCCTGAAGACCCAGAAGCAATACAGCTTACCTATAAATACTGCTTTATTTACAAATGAATTAAATCAGTTTTACAGTAGGTTTGATAAAACCATACATAAAGTTAGGGTTGACCAAGACTGTTGCCAAGTTTGGAATATCATCACTCTTACAGAGGAGGAGATAGCTGGCTGTCTTGCTAGGGTAAACCCTCATAACGCACCTGGCCTGGATGGTCTTAGAGGGAGGGCCATAGCATTTACCAACTTAAAGGTGTTATTCCTAGATTATTTTAGATTTTGCTTGATTACACATACTGTCCCACTCTCTTGGAAGAAGACCACAATCATCCCTGTGCCTAAAAACGGCAACCCTGTATCACCTAATGATTTTAGACCTATTGCCCTTACAAGAATTCTATGTAAATGCATGGAAGGGGTTATGTTAGGGCGTTTGCCAAATACTCACTTTTCAGACCAATTGCAGTTTGCTTATAAAGCACAGAGAGGCACTGAGGATGCTACTTTAACTTTGCTTCATGTGATCAGCAAGCACCTTCAGCACCCTGGCGCTTTTGCTAGAATTTTATTTGTTGATCTTAGCTCGGCTTTCAATACTGTCAAGATTGACATTTTATTAGACAGACTATTAAAACTTGATACCAATGGGCATCTTGTGTTATGGATCAAGGACTTTTTAACTAACCATCCTCAAAGAGTTTTTGTACAGGGTACCATGTCTGACGAGGTTACTTTGAATACTGGAGTCCCCCAAGGCTGTGTGTTATCACCTGCATTATTTTCTATGTATATGAATGAAATGCAGATTTGTGAAAATAATTTTACCCTACTCAAATATGCCGATGACATGGCTATGGTTGGTCTTATGGTCAGAGGAAAGGGGGAGTTAGAGAGGGCCTGCTTTGAGCATATAGACCATTTGGTGGCATGGTGCGAGGAAAGTGCTCTGTCACTTAATGCTCTTAAAACTAATGAACTTGTTGTCAGCACTAGGGAAGGGCAACCTACATGTCAGCCAGTCATAATTGGGGGCCAACATGTTGAGATTGTACATAGTTTTAAATATCTAGGGATTATCCTAGATTACAGCCTAAATGTTGGTGAGCACATAGATTACATTTATAAGAAGGCAACCCAAAGAAGGAAACTGAATAGTTTTAATGTGAATAAGGGAATCATGAGGATGGTCTACACTAGTCTGCTGGAAAGTATTATTTCCTATAATATCACCTGTTGGTATGGGAATCTGGGGGCTAAAAGCAAAGGCAAGCTTACAAAGATCATTAATATAGCCAGTAAAATCATATTGGACCCCCAGAGGCAGCTGGTGGAATTATATACAAATCAGACCAGGAGGAAAGCCTCACAAATAGCTCAGGACGCCACTCACCCTCTTCAACATGAATTTGAAAACCTCCCTTCAGGCAGACGATACAGGGTACCCACAACAAGAAATATTTGTAAAAAATCTTTTATACCATCTGCCATTACTTTATTGAATAAATGAACAACAATTTGGTCTATGTATATTATGAAACTGATTGCTGTTATCAATTTATTAATATTGCCTATTTATTTATTTATGGGTTTAGTGTTAGTAGCCTATCTCTATACATTAATTTTATATCCTATGTGTCTGTAATTCATGGGGCAAGTAGTTCTTGTATGTTTTGTGTGTTTGTTGTATTGAACTGTGAAGTCAAGTGTATTTGTGGTGCATGTTATTGTGGGGCCAAAGATACATTTCCAAATGTGTGGACATTAAAGATTTTCAATTCAATTAAATTCAATATATATTTTTGACAGAATCACAGCTATTGTGCCTAAATCTGCGACTACAGGTCATTTTCACGCACCTGGTGTTCGTGCATCAAATTCTTTGATATTATCGTTGAAGTGCTGCGGTTGAAGTACAGCCTCGTTGAGTGAGCGGTGCTGTAAAACAGGTTAATTTACTTAATCTTTTTAGACAAGCTGCCCGAGTCCTGTCGCTATATTTCATTCATAATGGCTTTAATGTTACCCATATTCTTTCTGGTGATGTCTAACCGAAAGCATTTTGGTCTGATAGGAACAGACACAGATACAGCAGGGCCATCAAGGCAGCATAACAGGTTACCAACATTCTTTACCATCATTCTTTATGTATTCACACAGAATGGCTTGAATGTTACCCAGATTCACTCTGGTGATGTCTAACTTCCATTTATTTTATATCTTAGGAAATATGTGAACAGCAGCAGATATAGGCTACAGCAGGGTCACCAAATCAGACAAAGGAGCATAACAGGTTACCAAAATCGGTTACCTTTCTCTATTTCACACAGAATGGCTTGAATATTACCTAAATTCACTCTGGTGTTGTCTAACCTTCTCTGTTTTATTTCCTAGAACACATTTTGGTCTGATGTAAACAGCTGAAGATATACAGAAGTGTCATTGAATTAGTCAAAGCAGCATAACAGGTTACCAAAGTTTGTTACACCACTCTATTTCACAAAGATTGGCTGTAATGTTACCCAAATTCACTCTGGTGAAGTCTAACCTCCTTTGTTTCATGCTCTATAAAGCATATTTGTCTGATGTGAACAGACATAGATACAACAGGTCACCAAATCCAACAACGCAGCATTAAAGGTTACTGAAATCTGTTACCCCCCCTCTATTTGACACAGATAATGGTTGTAATGTCAGTCAAATTCACTCTTGCGATGTATTACCATTTCTATTTTATATCCTAGAAAATATTTTGGTCTGATATGAACAGACGCAGATGTACAGTAGCATCACCAAATCCGACGACACAGTGTGGATACTGATATCTGTTATACATCTGTTAAGCCACACAGAATGGCTATACTGTTACCCAGATTCACTCTGGTAATGTCTATCTACCTCTACTTAATATATCCTAGAAAATATTTTGGTCTGATGTGAACAGCTGCAGATATACAGCAGGGTCACCAAATCCAACAACACAGCATTAGAGGACACCAAAATCTGTTACCTCCCTCTATTTCACACAGAATGGCTTTAATGCTACCCACATTCCCTCTGGTGATTTCTGACATCCTGTATTTTATATCTTACAATGCATTTTGGCCTGATGCGAACAGACACAGATACAGCAGGGTCACCAAATACGAGAACACAGCATTAAAGGTTACAGAAATCCATTATCCTCCTTATTTTCACACTGAATTGCTTTAATGTTATTCAAATTCACTCCGGTGATGTCTAACCTCCTCTGTTTATTTTTACTCTCTAGAAACCAGTTTAGTCTGACATGAATAGATACAGCAGGGTCACCAAATCTGACAAGGTAAATATGTATCTTAAAAACAGCATAATATAATCTAGTGACCGGTTTCTCCAGGTCATTGATTACGGCACAGCAAATATCAGTGGTTCTAATAATAACTGGTTACGCATGGTGTAAGCCAGGGGTGCCCAAACTCGGTCCTGGAGGGCCGGTGTCCTGCAGAGTTTAGCTCCAGCTTGCCTCTACACACCTGCCTGGAAGTTTCTAGTATACCTAGCAAGACCTTTATTAGCTGGTTCAGGTGTGTTGGATTAGGGTTGGAGCTAAACTCTGCAGGACACCGGCCCTCCAGGACCGAGTTTGGGCAACCCTGGTGTAAGCAGTGGTAATCGATTTGATTCTCAGGAAAACACAAAGCAGTACAAATGTATAGATTGAATGCTTTGTAAGTTACTTTGTATAAAGCCTTTGTCAAATGTGTACATTTTATAAATATGTTTCTCACCTTTGTACATTCCACTTAAGGGTTTGGTTTGTTTTTACGCCTGCGATTGAGTAGCTGGTAGCACAAACCCAGTCATGTCAAAGTTGATTTATTATCATTTGTCTTCTTTGCAGTAGGTAAAGAAACCAAATACAGTGTCTCCAGGAGCCACGGGACATGTAGTTTTGTGTATAAACAGAATGTGTTTCAGGCAGGCCTGACGTCATCGTAACCTGTTTGCATATGTCTTTCTGTGTACACTATACTTGCAGTTGATGCCCTGGTAACAATAGATAACTAAGCAATAATCTGATATTTTCTCAAAGGCTTTTTTGTCTGTACACCTTAAGGTAAGTGAACATCACCTGTGGCTTTGTAGATACAGTGATAGAGATTTGATATATAGATCAGCTGAGCTCCAGGAATGACTGCTGTTGTTGACACTATCAACTCTTTTTTTTATTTTTTTTTTGCAGTGAAACTGGGTGTGTCTTTCAGATTTGAATCAACTACATTCAAGCACAGTCTTGCGTGAACCTTAACAGATGGATCATGGGTTATGTGCCCCAAAAGTAATCTTTCGGATAGACAGGCCACCTTGTTTGACATGTCAGTGTGACGTCAAATCCTCACAAGATCTGCAGACATATGCAAAGCAGACAGGCTCGATGGGTTTCGACTTAATGGAGATGTAATAGATGGTTTACCTCTCTCGCTTTGATAGCATGACTGGAAGCCAGCTGAACTTTGGCCTCTCTGTAGGTTGACAGGTGATCTGACGAAGGAAGACTGGGGATTGTTTCTAGATTTTACTGGATTAATGGAATTTTATGAGGTAAATTGTTATTCTGGATCTTATTATAATAACATTTAAGTTCACAAAAGGAACATGCGTATTAAAATCTGAAAGCCGGTACCTGTCTGTGTACTGAACAAACAGTGTAGTAGTGTAGATAACACTAGATATCATATAGTTATGATAAAATAGCATAGTCACATAATCTTCCAGAAATCATTCTAATATGCTGATTTGTTGCTCCAAAAACAAATATCATTAACAGCGTTGAAAACTGTTTTTCTGGCTTAATATTTAATGTTTTTGTGGAAACCATTATACACTAATATTCAAAAGTGTGACCCAAAATATAAAGGGGAAAGGGGGAAAAAGAAAAATTAATACTTTCATAAGACATTTATAAAAGTTATAGAAGACATTTATAATGTTGCAGAGGATTTACATTTAAATTAGAATATTCATTCAAAAAATGTAAATAAAAAAAATAAAAATAAAATCACAATACATCACATTTTAAGTTCTTCCAAATTGTAATAATATTTCACAGTATTACTGTATACTGTATTTTTGATCAAATAAATGCAGCCTTCATAAGCATCAGTGTTATATAAGTGGTATACTATTATATATTTATTAATATTTTGAATTAGTATTTATTTTCTATTTTAATTTTAGTTATAGTTGAGTGTTGTTTTTGACATTTTTTATAAAAAATTTTTTTTTTAAATATGTCTATATATTTTTTATTCATTTTTATTTCAGTTTAAGCTAAACTAACCGAAAATGAGAAATGATTCCTTGGCAACTAGCTGAATTTGTACTTTTTAAAAAATATTTTCTCTTATTTCAGTTAAACTTCATATTATTTCAAGTAACATTTTTAATGATTTTAGTTTTAATTTTAGTTTTAGTTGACAATAATAACCCTGGTGAGCATAAGAGACGTCTTTCCAAAAAGAAAGCTGAAAAAAAAAAGGAATTATTCCAAACTTTTGACTGGTAGTGTAAAGTCAATAATGCTTTTATACTGAAGTTCATAGTGTGATATATAATAGAATACAGAAGCATTTTGGGTAATATTAGTAATGTTAGAAAAGTTAGAAAAGCCTAATAATAAGTTTGATTATCAAATAGAAATAGTTTGAATGACTTCGTGAGAGAATGACTGGAATTTCTGGAAGCATGTTTCAAATGAGTGTTTACCAAGACAATAAGACATTTGCGCACAGTTCTCATGTCAAAGACACACATACAAAAATAATAGAGGAATTCCTGACGCTTGAAGACAATCGACTGAGCATACTGATCATTTCAGGGCTGTGTCCCATCAGTTGCCCTGCCCGTTTCACAATGATTGCATTTATTTTAGGGCTGTAGATGCTGGTGTGATGATACCTGAGGAAACATGCATGTTTTTAGACTGGGTCTTTTTCTTCTGATCACCACGGGTGAGTTTTCATATATTTACTTTATCAGGGTGCCCACTGCATCTGCACGCATCAAAAACACACACTTAGAGAGTATTTTAGTTTTGTTTTCCAGTAAAAATATCTAAATATCTTTAAAACAAGACTTTTTTGTTTCACCCACTGACAAATTATTTTTCTTTTTCTTTAATAATAAACGTAACCAAATTTATTCAAAAAATGTATTCTTGAAAACAAGTCTCGGATGGATGAATGGTTAAGAAAAAGTAGTTTTTTTTTTGCAGTGTGGAAGTATCAGAGAATTTTAAAATTGTGATTTGCAGGCTTGGAAAAGTCACTGAAATTTATGCAATCTTAGAAAGTAATGGAAATTTCTATGGGAATTTAGACCGGGGCAAGTCGTCACGTGTTATTCCAGTCAGTATTTCTCAGAGCAGTTTTATATTTGATTTTAACCAAATTTATTCTAAAAATGTATTCTTGAAAACAAGTCTCGGATGGATGAATGGTTAAGAAAAAGTAGTTTGTTTTTTTGCAGTGTGGAAGTATCAGAGAATTTTAAAATTGTGATTTGCAGGCTTGGAAAAGTCACTGAAATTTATGCAATCTTAGAAAGTAATGGAAATTTCTATGGGAATTTAGACCGGGGCAAGTCGTCACGTGTTATTCCAGTCAGTATTTCTCAGAGCAGTTTTATATTTGATTTTGTCACATTATATGAATTACGTTGAGATAATCAAATCTGTAACAAGTTATTAATAAATCATGCAAATTTAAAACATATGGCAATATATGGTCATTTTAGCAAAGTATAGGATGATATTGGTTTAAATATTTTATTTAGCTTTATTTATTTATTTAGTTCATTTTAGATTGAAGGACAAATTTGACAAACATTCACTGCTAGAACAAAAACACCCACAAATTAGTGTAATTCATTATTGACTTTTGACTCAAAACCTCATATTCACTGAGATATAGCTACTGTGAGCCCCTAGCCCTGGTCTGTATATTATCTAGTTTTGCTCAGCTCTATATTAATGCTGTTTTGCTAAAAGAGGGGGGGAAAAACATAAAATAGTATACCCAAAAATATTCCGTAATTACCCTTAATGCTCATTTACTTTAAACATGATTTACGATGAGAAGAAAAACAAGAAAACATGCTTTGAATAACTGGATGTAAACGAAACCAGCTATTTGGAATCATTGGTTACTTGTGTGTCGTTGACTGCAGTGGTGTCCGCTCAGGAGCAGCTACAGCCTCTGAATGCAGCGGTACTCCGTGGTTCGAAGGCTCGGTTCAACTGCAGCACAACTCAGCCCCCATTAGTCATGACCTGGACGGTCAACGAACGCTTGGTTATCACCATTCTGGAAGCATTCAGGGTGATTAACAGCACAGATCGTTTTTCTGCCACAAATTTCACCACGCCTGGAGATTACAGATGGGAGTTTGCAATTAGCAACGTGCAGAGAGACGATGCGGGTGAAGTCGCCTGTCAGGTTTTGGGTGGAGCGTCTAGAATGGCCACACTGTCTGTACAAGGTGAGCAGTGTTTGAAGTTCTACCGTGATTCATTTCAACTGATCCATGCCACGTGACGTAAAATGTTTTAACAACACAGATATGATTGAGAGTGAAATATGAGAGTATATGAGAGAACGTCATCAAGTCAGAGCAGCTGCAGATAATTAAAGCTAACAATTAAAAAAATTATATAGAAAGACAGACCGTTCAAACGTTTACTTTTATGAAACAAGGATGCAAAATGTTTAAAAGTGACAGAAATCTTATAAAGTTATAAAAGTTTTACTATTTCAAATAAATGCTGCTTTTAAACTTTCTGTTCATCAACATTGTTAATAATAATAAATCTTTCTTGAGCGCCAAATCAGCATATTAGAATGATTTCTGAAGGATCATGTGACACTAAAGACTGGAGTAATGGAAAATTCATATTTGCCATCAAAGGAATAAATAAAACTTTCAATTATTTTTTAAATGTAAAAATAATTCAGATGTTCCTGTGGCTCAGTGGTAGAGCATTGCTTTAGCAGCGCAAAAGGCTGTGGGTTTGATTCCCAGGGATCACACATACTGTTAAAAAATGTGTAGCCTGAATGCACTGTAAGTCAGTGTCTGCTAAATGCATAAATTATTATTAAATTAATGATTAAAATTTAATTAAATATAAAATAGTTACTTGAAATTGTAGTAATATTTCACAATATTAGTGTTTTTACTGTGTTTTTGATCAAATAAACGCAGCCTTTGTGAGCATAAGACACTCACTTGAAAAACATAAAAACAAAAATAAACTGACACTGAACTTAAAGAGTAAATGAAAGAAAGAAAATTAAAAGTGTATTTGCATGAGGACTGCTGGATCTCTTTAAACCACTTGATCCAATCTTTAAGAACATTAAACAAAGATAAGTAAACAATTAAAAGCAGACAAACGCAAAAGCATGATTTGATCTCTCTTAAACTAGATAATTTGTTATTTTACTCTCAGTTCAACTCTTGTTTATTCAGGTTGCCTTTGGGTGTACAGTCAGTATAGTAAAAGGCTCTGTGTTCAAACTACTGCTTCTCAGATGCAAAGCTCCATCCTTAATGATTTTTGTCATGGTTTGAATGTTAAATTACACTCTTCAACAGCGCCTACTTTCTTGCTTCAGGCTTCATCTTTGAGCCTAAGTGAGTTCCAGCATGCACCTACATCCATATGCTGATCTGTTTTACAACCTTTAAGCATTACTCAGCAATTTTATGCATGACAGAGCGTAAAATTCGGCTAGAACATTCCCAGAGACTGTCTCCTTAAATACATCTGCACTAACTAATGCCCTCATCAGCACTAAAATAACCTTTGTGGACCAAATAAGCATCTGTCAGCTAAATAACAGAAGTCATTGTTTTTCCTAGACAACAATGAAATTAAAACAAGACCAAATACAAAATACACGTTTCAGAAGATGTCAACAACGTTCCAAACTATGCTCAGATTTGCCAAGATAAATAAAGTCAAAGATCTCAAAAGGAACTCAAATATCTCTCAGCAAATTCTTCCCAATCCAGATTATATTCAGTATAAATTGTATTGCTCTATAGGTGTGTCTAATTTTTCTGTTTCTCCTTAAATTGATTCCTAAATAAAACCAAACTAAGCACTCCTTTAAGTCTCCTGAGCAATGAAAGAGCAACCTTTGAGCAATAAAATGTATTAAAATAAAATAATTTTCTCTGACGGCCGTTTCAGGAATTAAGTGTTCATTTAAACAATTTTGGTATTTTTTGTGTGCAGAATCTACGCTTTATTCAAATCTATATAATAATGTTGCTTTTATATATACATACATATATATATGCAACATTATTATATAGATTTAAATATTATATATATATATATATATATATAGAGTATATAGTATGTATGTATGTATTCATTTTTATTTATTTATTTGCACAATAGCTTAATTATACATTTAAAAAAATATTATAAGTCTATTTATATTTCTCCTTAAATTGATTTCTAAATAAAACTAAAGTCATTTAATTTAGCTTTTTTTTTGTTAGATGCATGATCCACATTTTCTACGAATCTTTACACCCTTTTACAAGGTTTACTGTAACTGCAAGAGATTATATTGCTAATTCTGCTTGCTTAACTTTTATAACAAATCTTATATTATTATTTTTAATATATTTAGTATTAGACATTTCAGCTTGAAAATGTATCAGCAGCAGAAGGCACAACCACAGAATATAGCAGAGTATCGCAAGCATGTATATTTAAATAATTTCTTCATTCTTTGATGCATTGTAAGTGAATTGAGTTTTGCCTTACAAGATCTGTCTGTGCTTTGATCATGGACCACGAAAAGTACAAAGCGCAAAGCAAAACAAATCCGAGATGTTATCAGCCACACCTGTAAGTCACTGCTTTCACCTGTCCTGCTGTCCCGTGGGAAATTATCCGATTACATCTCAAAGTGCAGATAATCAATAATAATCTACTTCTTAATTAAAGTGGCCCATGTTTCACGACAGGCCCGACTGTCATTAAAGCAAACTCTCAAATCCAGAGTGATTAGGGCAGAGTGTGTGTTCGAAAGAGATAATTCTGCTCTGTTCTTTTCCAGAACGTGGCAGCGTGGGGATCGTAGGTGGAAATCAGACCAAAACGGAAGGAGCTCAGACCGAGTTCCAGTGTCGGGCCGTGGGCTGGTTTCCTGAACCCAACATGTCCTGGTCTGTTAATGGAGTGGCATATTCCTGCAACACAAGCTCTGTAACACAGGGAAACCTGTTTAACTCCAGCTGTACGCTGGCAGTCACTGCCGTCAAAAACTCTTCTGTTCAGTGTCTGGTCAAGATACCAGCCCTGAGCACACCGGACAGCAGCACTGTCTTCCTGACCGTTGGTAAGAACATTAAACATGCTTTAAGTGATCAACAAATACAGAAGATCACAAATTCTAACTTCTATTCTAAGGATAAACACAAACAGAATCGGAATTCTAAACATAGCACAACAATATAAATGGGGTCATTTTTAATTCCACCCACAAATCAGAAGAATTACTTTCAGCAACAGCTAGAGGGCACTGCAAACACCAATCCAGCCACATGAAGATGAATATTATCAACGAAGCTAATTGTATAACTTTGCTCTCCTGTTTGGCACAAGATGAAGAGCATGCATGATTCCCTTATCTCTTTCAGTTCAAGACAAGCTTGCTAAAAGAGACCAGACGGTGCTGATCGCCGTCACTGTGGCCTTCAGTGCTGCGGCTCTATTGTTTCTAATCATCTATGGAATTGTTTTCTTCTGCAAGAGAAGGAAGAAAAGTGAGTAATTGTGAGGATGAATCCCAATTTTCCCTTTGTAAGCCCAATTATTTGCATTAGTGCATCCCACAAAAAGTGCTTTTTGCAGCCAGATTGTGTTGTTAAGCTTTTTGGACCTTGCTAACTAGCCAAGCTTCTTAAATTATTGATGTAATTCTGGTGTTAAATTGTAAACTGCTAATTTTTTTGTCTCTTTTCTACAGAGTCAAGCTACCAGGAGGAGCTCAGGAGGTGAGAAATGAGCTCCAGTGTGTCTTTTAAGAGTGATTGAAAATGCACAGTAATGCGAAATTGAGGAAACATTTCTTTCAAAACCTTTATTACTGTGAGTGGCTTGCTAACAGGTCTGGGCTCCTGTTTCAGAGCACGAATCCATTCCCAGAATAGGATGCCTGCCACAGAAAATGTGCGAGGACGGGACAACCGAGGATATATTAGAGACAGGCATGATGGTGTGTATGCATAAACAAACATACATAGGGGTATCATCCAATATATTATATATGCATTATTTATTTGATCAAAAATACAGTAATAATAAAAACAGTAATATTATGAAATATTATTGAAATCTGAAATAACAGTTTTCATTGTTATTTTTTTAAATAAACCAAGCAAAATTTAAACTGCACTGTACTTGACGATAATAGTGAAATTTCAAAACTTCAAAGACACAAATAACTGGAAAAAAGAGCAATTTATAACATTCACAATCTGTGTCAAAAATCTGAATGGGCATTATGTTTTTGCACAAAAGAAGCCTTTATTTTCCTTTCTTTTACTGACATCTATTCTAATGTAATGATTCAGGAAAGCATGAATGAACTCTGTACTCTGAACCATCATGTGCTTCTCTTTACTGCAGGACACACCAATGGTGGAGTCTGGTACACAAACCACTCTAACAAACATCAGGTGATGCCTCAAATTAAGCTTAAAGCCAACATGAAACCAAAACTTCACCTATTTACTTCCTTAACACACATTCATGATCTTGTTTCGAACGATTCATCAGTGCACACTATTTCAAAGAAAAATGGTCTTTATAATCTTTCATCAAAATGAAAACCGATCATGTAAAATGCCTCATAATGGAAGTAAAATGGGTTGTGAGCACCTTTCATGTTGAACTGAATATTTCAATACATTTCATAAGCTTGAATATTTGTCAAGACTCCATATCGAATACAAATCTTTGGTTTTTCAGATGCCTGATGGCTTTTTTGATGATGGTCACAGGAACGACAGACACATGACCATCCTCTAGAGACTAGATCTGACTAGATGTTGGACTTCACAGACAGCAGGTGCACTGGCTCTCTTCTTCTCTCTTGTACATAAAATAATCATTTTAGGTTTAAATACAGAAGAAAGAGAGCCCGAAAGATTTGTTTCACCTCCACTGGATTATTTATTGGAACACAGAAGGATTTTCTTGGTGGTCTCAGACTTTTGGACCCCACTGAACACTGTGGATAATCACCATCAGAGCATGTTTTTGGGCTTTAACAGATAAAGTGGTCAGAATGAGGGCGGTCGAGGGGTTGGTTAAGATCTGCCGGAAATCACTTGTCTGTTTACTTAAACCAATCTGACAGAAGTGTTGATTCATTTTAAAGTCCTTGCATGTGCATAATGCATTCATCAGATGCTTGCATTTCCACAGCAGGTTTTTTTTTTAATCAACATCTTCCTGTTTTCTCCAGAATCATAAAATCATCAGCATATGGCACCACACATCCCATGAGAGTTTTGCTTCCTGTTTTTATAGCTACTTACAATTCAAAGATTTTACATTCGAAGCGTTTAGAGAAGATCATCTTGTGTGACACGTAATGCTTCACAGAGCATGATGCTGTTAAACAATTCATCTAAACCACTGACTTTTACCTCCCCACAGAGGGAAACTACTTAAACTCCAAAATTACATCATACAGTGAAGTGTCATGAAATGGACTGGAACTATGTGATCCTTATTAAAACATCAATCAGTCACTTAATATCAAATTCATAAAGACCTTGTGTGTAGTTGTCACTTATCTGCGTTTCATGCATTTTAACGGCACTAAAATCCATAAAATGGATTATAAGAATTTTAAACAAATGTTTTTAAAACAATGTATTATTAATGTATAGCTAAATTGAATTTTTTTCTTCAGTTTTATGATCCCCTCCTCTTTTTTTGTTTTAAGCATGAACCTCACTTTTTATACTTAAAACAAGAAAATATGCCAGTGAGATAAGGAGAATGTATTATACTTAATAGATTAATTAAACCCTGATTTAAGTTTTTTTTTTGTCAGATAGACAACATTTATGTGGTTATAGATTCTTATGTAATAAAGAATAAACACTTTTTTGTACAATTATTGTTTTTTAATCCATCTATCTATCCATCTATCCATCCATTCATCCATCCATCCAAGTTGACTTTATTATTCTGTTTTCAAGATATTTCAAAAATGCTTTCAGAAGCCGCAAAGCTGGATAAATTTTTAAACCAAAGAACAGACATATAGATAACAGACAGAAACGCTCTGCTGCTCTTTTTCATGCGCTCCTTTAGTAGACTATCTCGCTGGAGTGTGCATCTGACATTCTTATCCAAGTGCTCTGCAGTCAGTGTGTGTGAATATTAGCCCTCTTTCATCTTTTCCCTTAAAAAATAATGAATGCTCATAAATAAATAAATAAAGCTGGGTTAATGGCCAGCTGTAGGCTGGCATCTATTCCCACGTGGCTTGTTATGAGCTGTGGAGTCTTCCTCTTCCTCACGCCTCACTCCACCCAGCTCTGTGCTGGCCGAGCAGCTGATATTCTCCCACTCATTACGACCACACCAAAGAAACTTCCTGTTATGTAACCAGCACTGTGTACCTATAAGACACAGATATGGAACATTTCCAGTTTCAATCTAATATGAAGCAAAATATCACGGAGAACCCTGTGGTGAAGCGCTGCTGTAGTGATGGTATCAGCTGGTAATTTCAAAGAATACCATGGTGCTTCGATATATATACTGTAAAATGGCACTAAATAATTACCATATGGCATGGTATTTACATGCTATTCCAAGGTATTTTAAATAAGCTATAGCACATCTGTGTCAGTGTGGCTCCATTCACAGTAAATGCTGCTCCACATAAACTGTTATAATTTACATGCGTGGAGCACCTCAAACTCCATCTCTGCATATTGTTGAGCATTTTAATTTATTATAACGTTCATCTGGGAACTCAGCATGCTCCATTTCATCAGATTTGTAAGGTAAATCATTTATAAACCAAAGCAAACATAATAATTTTCTCAACTGTTCATCGCGACTTCAAAATAAAAGTTTAATCCCTCGCTCTGAGTTTACACATTTTGATGTCCACATATTCAAGAACTTATAGTGGCTGTAGCATTTCTGTCGTAAAGAAATGGCCAAATATTAAAGTTTAAGTGGACTTTTGAATTAAATGTTGTTTAGTCAATATTGAACAAGGATTAGATTGCACAGTGAAGTGTAAAAACAATCGCAGGCATTTGTTATCATGCATAATGTACATTGGCTCTATTGTTTATGACACATTATGTATTTTAACAGTTTTGTTCAATAAAACCATATGATTACTTGCTTTTGATGCTTTAATTTAACCCATTATTATTGCCTCATTGCTATGTATTTGAAGTAATTTTAAAGGCTATTGTTCGCTTAGGTCTATTTTTATTAGGCTACTACATGAAAATTAATTAGTGCTGTCAAACGATTAATCACATCCAAAATAAAAGTTTTGTTTACATAATATATGTGTGTGTACTTTGTATATTTATTATGTATATACTGTATAAACACACACACACGTGCATGTATATATTTAAGAAAAATATGTTACGTTTATATATTAAATATATTTATATATGATATAAATGATATGAATATAAATATATACATGTAAATATTTTCAAAATATATGCTGTATGTGTGTGTATTTATATATACATAATAAATATACAAAGTACACACACATATATTATGTAAACAAAAACTTGTATTTTGGATGCGATTAATCGCGATTCATCGTTTGGCAGCACTAAAATTAATTATAATAATCAGATTATATATACTGCTGACCTTTTTTTGGTACGTCACCCAAAACGCCAGAATTTGTGACTCTACTGGATAATTAATAATACATTTTTTAATAAATTAAGTGATTTAAGTTCATAAAATGAATTATTTGGCATTCTTGCATTTAGACATTCCCATTATTTTTCTACTCTAAATTCACTGTGGTAATGCTCTAAAATAACTGTCAGAAATCGTCTTGTTCAGTCATAAAATGGCAATTAAAGTCAAACCCTTTTCAAAATCATTTTCACTTCAAGAACATGGACCTTCAAAGTTAATGTTATGAAATATTCAAAGAGTGAGCAGGTGTAAAGTTCTCCATAGATCTTGGCCCACTATTAACAACCTCTCAGAATAGCTGCTTAATTCAGTTGGTCTGAATGACTGTCTTCTCCTGAAGCAAATGATCATGGATGTGAGAAGCGTAAAGGTCAGCCAGACTCCACAGTTTATTTGTCCACACAATCTAGTTGGATCTTTTGCTAAAGGCACTCCGGGAGTTAATGAACCTCCGTTGTGTTTCAGAAAAACCAGACAGAAATACAGCAACCACTAAAACTGATACACCAGGGTAGTCTTGCCAGAAGACACAGCTGGGTCTCAGGCAACATTTAGGAGCTAATGATTAGAGAGGAAATATTATCACCTTTGCACACAACCTTGCTTTTAAAGATTTATGACTTTCTCACAATAAAACCTCCAGAGAGTAGCAAAACTGTCTGTTCTCTCTATATATACCCCTACAAGCCGATGGAAATGCTTCTGTTGTGGTTGCATGGTACATACTCACTTGAGACCCATTTCTGTCTTCCTATTATTTAAAATAACATGCTATTTTTGTACTTCCAGCAGAAAAAAGCAATGCTGATCAGCAGGCCAATGCAGATGAATTCATTAGAGAAATTGTCAATGACAGATTTTTCATATTACGCCTTAAAGAATAGTTCACACAAAAATGAAAATTTGCCGAAATGTTACTCTCTTTGGCCATCGAAGATATAGGTAAGTTTTGAGTTTGTTTCTTCATATGAACAGATATGGAGGAATTTAGCATTACGTCACTTGCTCTCTACAGTGAATGGGTGCCGTCAGAATGAGTGTCACAGAGGAGGCTCCCGTACCGCCTCCTCCGCACCACCAGAGGGAACCGTCTCCCGAATATTAGTCATTCCCATTCGGACTCCAATTCCCATCACCCCTCATGCCTGGGACTGATTGCTCATCCACACCTGCACATCATATACACACACACATATAAGGGTCCGTGTACGTTTTGATCATTTCATTTCCTATTTGGAACGGAATAACGAGAAATGAGAAGACGGCTCGTTTGTTCGTATTTTTGTTTAATTTAACCAAACGGAAAACGAGATTTCGGCTTGATTTCTCATCTTTCGTTTGCGCTTTACAAATCGGTTTATAGTTTCGATTATTCATTCGCACACGTGGGCGGCTCTGAAACGCCCCTTTCATCTGATTGGCCAAATTGCTCCGCCTTCAGTATGAACTTTAAATTCTGTCAGGCAGAATAAAAGTCAGTACGAATGCGGCGCAGAATATCGCACTTTAATAACAAATTGTCTGAAACCATCACTCACTGTTACCTACGCATAACATTTGAAGCAGAAATATAATAATGTGAGCTAGCCTATATAGTCTACAGTATGCTGACACATTATTTCTAGGTTATATAGCATTGTATAATAATCGCATGTCCCATTTGGATAAAAGTGAAGTGCAAATAAAAACCAATATTGGGCTGAATAGTAGGCTATAATAATGTGTCTGTGGTATACAGTGCATACATTACATTTTGTGGTCTTCTCAGAGGGTTAGGATTAGGGGTAGGGGATAGAATATACAGTTTGTACAGTATAAAAATCATTGTCTATAGAAATTTCCCATAAAACATTAAAATCCAACAACCCAATTAAACCTCTGTTCATTATCTGTGATTACAAAATTCCAATACGCATAGCACCGAGATGTGTCTGGAATAACTGTTTAACTGTGCAATGAACAGCACATCATAAAAGCTTTTGAACAAGTTGTGATTGCCTTGGTACATTCATGCAATTGCTTATGTACATCTGTCTGTGGTTTCCTACATTATTAGTTGATAATGTCTTATTGCTCAAAATGTATTATATAGTTCTCTGTGCAATAGTCCTACCCCTCAAAACATCTAGTCCTTATTTCATCATTTAAGTTTTTAAATGAAAAATGGTTGATCTAGTTGTCATAAACTGTAAAGCATATTTTATTTCTATTTGACTTTTTGTAAATTTGCCACGAATTGTGCAATGATCAAAACGTACACGGACCTATAAGCCACTCACACACACAGACTCTCTGCGAAGTCTTGATTTACCCTGGCTGTCATTTCTGAGCGTTATACCCGTGTTTGATTTTCTGTGCATCTGTTCTTGGACTGTTTCCCCAATTCTCTGATTGTTATCTGCCTGCCCCGACTTGGATTGTTTCACCTGGACTCTGTTTGCTTGCCGCCTGCCCCGATCTCTCGTCTGGTTCACGACTCTGTCTCTGCTGTTCTGCCTTGCCGGTATTTGACCCAGTATTGTCTGACTATTCTAAATAAAAGCTGCAAATGGATCCACACGCTTCTGACTTGTCACAACAATGAGACTCCAAACAGCTGATAAAATATCACAATAATCCACATGACTGAAGTCCATCAATTAACCGTCACTTCTGGCCAGCGACATATATTTTTCAGAACGTTTTTCGACTGTTTTTGCTTGTAAACAGTGCTTGATCTGTGCAACTTTTATACTGGAGAAAGCAATATTATGGATACAGTACTCTAATTTTTAGCTGAAAGCAACAGTTTGAATAAGCAACATCTTATTTGTTTCTTACAAACCCAAAGCTTTTCTCTTCAAAAGACATTCATTGATGGTCTGGAGTCGTGTCAGTATTGTATAGATCATTGCAATGTTTTTATCAGCTGTTTGGACCCTCATTCTGACGGCACCCATTCACTGCAGAG